CAAACGCTACTTGGTCGTGGAGTATTATTCTTTTTATATTGCTGTATTATATTTGCTAACATTTTATTGAGGATTTTTGTGTGTGTTCATGAGGGATATTGGTCTTGCTTTTTTCCCTCCCTCTCCCTCCCAACCTTCTTCCTCTTTCTTTGTCTGGTTTTGATATCCACGTAATAATGTAGTAATGGCCTCATAAAGTGAGTTGAGAAATGTTTCCTTCTCTTATGTATTTTCTGGACAGAATTGTATAAATATTTGCTATAATTGGTCAGTGAAATCATCTGGGCCTGGAGATTTCTTATTCAGGTGATTTTACCATGAATTCAATATATTTAATAGGACTATTCAGATTATCTTTTTCACCTTCGGCAAGTTTCAGTAGTTTGTGATTTTCAAGGAATTTGTTTGTTTTATCTAGTTGTCAAATTTATGTGAATATAGTTGCTTGGAATATTCCTTTTTTATCCTTTTAATTCCTGGGGGTCTTAGTAACATCCCATCTTTCATTTCTGATATTGGTAACTTTTTTCTTCTCTCTTTTTATACATGTTATTTTACCCAGAGGTTTATTAATTGTATTGATTTTTTTCAAAGGCAGGCTTTTGGTTTCATTGATTTTTCTCTATTGTTTTTCCTGTTTACAATTTCATTGATTCCCACTCTTACCTTTATTATTTCATTTCTTCTGTTTGTTTTGGGTTAATTTTGCTCTTTTTTTCTGGATTCTTAAGGTGAAAGCTTACATTACTGATTTGAGTTCATTCTTTTGGTCTAATATGGGAATTTTGTGTTATAAGTTTCTCACACATTTTGATATGTTGTATTTTTATTTTTGTCCGACACAATATATTTTATAATTTCCTTTGAGAATTCCATTCTATGAATTTGCTTTTCCAGCCACCCATAGAATTTGTCATCTGTTCCATATCTTTTGGTTCTTGGTTTGTAATCAAGTGCTAAGTTGAAATATGTCATCTCATGTAAGTTTTTAATAGCTTTATTTGTTGTTATGTGACATTTATTTCCATTGCTTTATTAAAGATAATATAGCCACCCTGTCCTAGACAGTATGTTGATCCCTGGTCTTGGTGATTATTAAATTCTCTCAAGAACCCTTTCAGTAGGTACTGTTATTAGCCCCATTTACATTTGAGGAGACTGACACATATATTTTAAGTGATTTGTCTAGATTCATTTGGTTAGTTAAGTGGTAGAGCTGAGATTTGAATGTAGTTTTGATTCCAAACCCCAAATTCTTAAAACCATTATACTAATTTTCTCTCGTTATTTCATTTCTTGCCTTCCCATCAAGATTGTTAGCTTCTTCAGGGCAAATTGTATGTCTTACTTATAAAGATCTCCTTTTCCCTATAGTACCTGCAGTAATGTTTGGCACACAGTAATGGATTAATTAATGTTTGTAGAACTAAATTTAATGAAATTAACTGTCCTCGAAGAGAATCAAACCCATGAGTCTTGCCGTATTGCCTTAGGTTCTTACCAACTAAGCTAACTTAGCACAGTATCCTATACAAAAATAAAAAGGCTTACAGGAAATATTTGTGACAGTAGTAATGGCTGTGCTGTATTTCTTCATGTGATGGTGAGTCAGGTGTGGCAACAACAGGAGACAGAAGAGATTCAGGAAAACTAAATTTGTTATACTCAGGCCCTAGAGATAAGAGGCCCATGCTACGGAGGCAGGAGATAGAAGTAAGGGGGAAGATTTAGGCCACTGTCTTTATTGGGGTTTCCGTAGGAAAGGAAAGGCATTGAAGGGTAAACAGATAAGGACTGGCTAAGTTGAATAATTTCAGTGGGCTCTAAACTATAAGGGTGATACCTAGTTGCCTGATACCTGGCCCTGGGGTGATTAAAGCTGGGGAATATTGCTTCCTGGGGTGTAGGGGCTTGATAGAGGAGGTGTGGCTGTAGATTGGGTGGTTTGCAAATCTTGGCTGAGCCCTTTGCTATCTTTAAGAATTGGTTGGCCGAAGGAGAGGCAGTCTCTCCCCAGTCAGAAAGCTTTTTTAAGGATGTCAAAAAATCACAATATACAGAAAATAAAATATATATATCATGCAATGGCCAAGACTTTGTGGTGGCAAGGGAGGTTTATAAGTATGACTAACAGACCAGAAGTGTATGGTTCTGGCCTTCACTCTGTCCTTTTGTTTTCTCTGGACCTCTTTCGCATACTTTGGATTTTTTATACAGTTTGGCTCTCTCATATGATTTTATTTTTCCTTCCTTTCTTCCTTTCTACCTTCCTTCCTCCCCCTCTTCCTTCCCCTTCCCCTGCCCCTCCCAATGTAGGGGGCCAAAGGGAAACTTCATGCCTGAAGATTCATTAATAAAAATCACTGACAAATTTAGATCAGTAGGAGGAAAAGGCATAACAAATTTTATTATTTAACGTGGTAGGAGAGGGCAAAGCACGGGGGAATCACAAGAGAGTAATGTCCCAAATTCCAACAGGAGTAGCAAAACTTGTATACCAGTGTTCATGAGAGAGAGAAGGTGGGGGGGGGGGGGGG